AAAAACAAAGTCAAAAAATATTTCTATAAGCTAAATAAATGGTTATATCAAAAATTAAATGAAAGAGAATTATAAGGTGAGAAAAAAAAATACATATTGACTTAACAAGACTAAAAAGCATATGCTTTTTATTTGCTGTGTTTTTTATTTTTCTAGAATATCAATGGAAAAATTATGCTATGCTAACCGTGAAATAATATTTTTATTATCAATCATTTTGTTAAAATCTTATCCATCATTTGAATTGCATAATAATAAATAATTTTCCTATGAAATATCTTGAAGAAATGAATAAGAATATGTCTAAAATATGTCATTTCATATTGATATTAATATAAACGTTACGCAAATATTATTTTCAGATACTTAATGCCAAAATGTTCTGTACCATAATGCAAAAAATTGTTGGAAATATTGTTTGTAAAACCAAATGGTTATCGAGTCGAGGAGTAATCTTGACTATTGTCGATGATTCTATATTTCCATATATGGTTTTTTTAAATTTTATTTCAGTCCGTAGCATATAGCATTGAAAGATAGATGAAAATAAAAAAAGAAAGGATGAAACTCAGCTCTTATCTTAAACATAGTGTTCTCTTCTCTTCGTAATTTGACCGATGTTATTGCATGCATAGTGTTGTTTTATAATATAGTCTTGATAAAAATTATTTACTTTTGTTTCTATTGCGTATATGTCAGTCGTATAGAGCAAACAAACATGCTATGAAAATGTTTGTCTATAACATATTGATAATAAATGTTTTTGTTTTTCATAACTGTTATTGAGTTCACACTCATTTTTTGTTTTACCTTATGAAAAACAAAATATTAAATCAATCAAATCAAAATGTTTATATCATACGATATAATTAATAAATAAGTATGAACAGCAAAAATAGGATTTAGAAGTACGGATGCTAGAGATTCGGTGACAGTGATTAACCAGTACAACATAGTAATAAAAACTATAACTGGTAAAAGTCATGGAGAGACATCGAAAATGAAACAATAACATACACGAGATTTTAATAAAGACAAAAGAAATTTGTTAACAGTGATCAATAGAAACTCAATCGACATTCATGACATTACAGGATTTTTTTAAAATTTTTTATCAACTCAATTTTTTAATAGCGATAAAGGATATGTGAAGGTTAACATCGTAACATATTTCTCAACAGAATAGTCTAGAAAATCCTATAATAGTTCTTAATTACAATAGTGATGTACATGCTATTCGATTGAAACATTTTTTCCCGAAAAAATGCTTTTCTGTCTTTTTTTTCTTGAAAACCAGGATCATTAAATATTCGTCGAGATATACTCTTTCTTAAGATATAATTCATCATTTATTCTTTAAATAAGAAGTCTACTAACTTTAGGACCTTATCATATATATTGCTATTTCTAAGAAACACAAACTTACAACATACAACGATATGTTCGAATAAATTGCACTTGAAGAAGGAAAATACTTATTATGTTGAAGAACTTTTACTCATCCTAATCTATCTTATCAAATAAAGAAAGTACTGTTAAAACAAAGGAGTTACTAAAGAAATGAAATCATGTAAAACTTTTTTTTGTTTCTTACCGTATTTGATCGAATGTTGTGTTTATTGTTCAGACAGACGAGTAAATCCATTGTCTACGTTTACAAATTTAAAAGACACAATCTTTATATTGATTGGTGTGATTTACATACATAACCCTGAATGAGAATGAGGGCGCTGTATGATAAAAATGAAGATGCTCCACTTCAATTTTCGAAATCATGTTTTTATTTTCAATAGATTTCGAGAAACAGCGCCATCTCAAATGTACCTTTTGATTGGTAATGATTTAAAATATGTGAATTCCAGTAAGTCGAAAAATAGAGAGAAAAATGTCTTGATTAACAAATAAAAATAGAAGAATCAATTTTGCTTATATACAAAACAAAATGTTGATCATAATATCTTATTAAAATCTTGGAAAATATCTTTACATATATATTAAAATGATATTATTTTTAATGAATACTGGTAAAATATTTTTAGTTTTATTTTCTAATAATTTCATCAATGTCTCTACAATTTAATTATCAATTCGACTTAAATGATTTATATGAAAGTAAATATGGACAATCTTATTTCTTAAATAAAATAATATGACAAGTTTCTTTTTTGTTTATAAATTAAATAACGAGTGACTGAACTATTAGTGGAAAGGAGACATACCGGGTGGCCCAAAAGTAAGAAAAAATAATGGGTATCTAATAATAACTGATGAAAAACTGTTAATGATATTTTTCATACTTTTTATTGATGTAAAGAGCTGAAATTTTTATTACATATATATCTAATTAATACCTTTTATTTCTGAAAGTTTTAGCTCTCTACATCAATAAAAAGTGTGAAAAATATCATTAACAATTTTTCATCAGTTATTATTAGATACCCATTATTTTTCCTTACTTTTGGGCCATCCGGTATAGTTTCATGTCAATGGAATTTTGGAGAAATTCAATTTTTGATAAACATTGAAAAAATGCTTTTATTTAACATAGATTAAAATCTATGTTTTAAGTCAGAAATGAAAAATAATATTATGAAAGCAGAATTGATTGTAGACTTTTTGTTGTTGATATTTACATCATAAACATTCGAATTTGATTTACTATCGAAGTTCTATTGAATAATCAAGAACTGGAAAGAGGGAAAATGTTTTTTTTTTAAAGAGTAGAGAAATTTATATTCATAAATTGTTTCGCAATGTGAACAATTTAAACTATACTTTTTTATGTATGTGTCTAGATTACAACAAAATGTGGATGAGTTAGGTGTGCAATGGTGACAGTGCATTATCCACCAGCACACCGTACTACCGGTAGCACTGATTTTACGTACAGCTTTGCACTAGTCTAAACGTGTACATATAGACTAACGGTGAATACATTATCAAACTAAAGTTATCTTGCATTAATTTGGATCTTTTTAGTCAGAGAAGTTATTTCAAGAAAATATTTGAATTTTATACAACTAGGCTAAAGGTTTTCGGAGTCCACAAATCTGAATCTATAGAAGATTTGTCGAAATTCTCGAGTTCGATTTTCTCGTTCGAGAAAGATTTAGTTCTCAAGGCTTAGTGGTATTTTAAAAAGTTCAACTATTTTCTTGAAATAGATCTAGTCCGTTCGAAAAAGTCGAAATAAATCTAAGATTACTGGAATTTTTTCATATATTCATCTGTATTCTATATGTGCATTTCAAGACGGTTGCATCCAGTGAATGAATTGAAATCGAAAAATGAATAATAATGCAATATAATCTTAGTGAAATTTTGATTCTGACATGTATGTTAGATAGAGGGATTTCAGTTCTATAGTTCAAGATACAATTTGGATAGTTATCTTCTCACATTCAAACGTGGAGCAAACAGAATTTGTACGTTTTCTTGCCAAAATAATAGGAAATTACATTGATTTTTGGCCAAATTATCTTACTTTTTATCAAATTTTCATCGAAACGAGAAGTTATTTTGATAAAAAGTAAGAATATTTAGTCAAAAATCGATGTAATTTCCTATTATTTTGGCAGGGAAATGTACAAATTCGGTTTGCTCAAAGTTCGAATGTGAGAAGATAATTATCCAAATTGTATCTTGAACTATAGATCTGAAATTCCTCTATCTAACATGCATGTTAGAATCAAAATTTCACTGAGATTATATTGCATTATTATACATTTTTCGAAAAGATTCACAAAAACGGTTCGCTTGGCAACAATTTCACTTTGCAAAATATTATATCAAAATACGTTCTAATACAACCTCTTTCGATTGGTGAAAATTGAAAGTCGCTAGCTGTTGTTGTTCTTGAGATATTCGTTTTACACCAACTCACGTTTAATTTTGGAACCGACAATAGAATGAATGACTCACTGTGGTCTATATAAGGACTGGGAAAAAACCCAAGCGATGATTCTTTTGATATATACAGTTGTAAAATCGGAAAATTATCAAATTTTACTAACGAAGCAATCTTACGAAGTGATAAATCAATTTTGAAGTGAGGTTTCGCTCATTATTTAGATTCTATTGATACAAGAAAAATTCGAGAATGATTCATATCCATAGGATTTCTTCTCGAATCAGAAGCATTTTCATTGTGTTTTGTAATGTGTTGTAGGATAGTGGAGGCGAAATCAAAAGAGACTATTTTGACCTAAAATTTCTTTTCATAAAGAAATCTGATGATAACTCAAACGCATCAAAAGTTTCAGCGAAAACACATGTTTTATTGAAGTATCGAAAACCTATTATCTTGGGAATGGAATACTCGTTTTTCCCACAGCCTTTGGTACATTCTAGCTAGCATCAAACTTTTCTATAGCTGAAAATTCAGGTTATAAATATTCTCTTTTGATTTCGCCTCCGGTGTCTTACAACAGATCAAAAACATAGTGAAATGGCTCTAACTCGATAAAGAAAATCTATAGGCACGAATTATCCAGGAATTTTTCTTGTGTTAATAGGAACTAAATCATACGTGAAGTTTTACTTCAAAATCGATTGATCACTTCACGAGATTTGATAGTTTTAAAATTTCGATTTGTAATCTTGGTTATGTGAAGACTTTATGAAATTCTATTGTACTATACAAATAACCTATTTCATGTTTTCTTTTATAGAATGATAATGAATCCAATGATTTCAATTGTAAAACTTTATTTATTGTTATTTTTTAGATAAAACTATTGTTGTTTGTTTTATTTTTCTTCTGAGTATGACAGCTAATCCAAAAGCATTATCAATTGTTGCTAAATGTGCATTATGTTCAATAAAAACTGAATTATTTATATGTCCACATTGTGATGAAGTTATATGTCAAACATGTGTTAATAAACATCAATCACAATTAAATGAAACACTTAAAGAACATTGGTTAAAATGTAAAACAAAATTTCATAATTTATGTCAATTATCAAGTAAAATTAAAAAAGTTTTTCGTTTTTCTTTTTTTTTTTTGCTTTGTATTAAAATTATCTTTTATAATTATGTTGTTTAGATACATGTGATAAAGATTTTGTTCTTGTTGAAAATGAAATGTCTCGAATACGACAAATAATTGAACAACAATATTTAGATGTTGTTGAATCAATTGAAAGTGAAAAAAATACTTTATTAATAAAATTAGAAGATTATATTAAATCAATAACATCAAAGTAAGTTTGATATTGTTTAATTAACAATTAACAAATAATTGAACAATATTATTTAGCATAAATTATATTTTCTTAGTGTTAAACATAAAGATCTTCAACAATTATTTAATTCAATTAATCAACGACTTGAAGATGTTTTTCAGTAAAAATATTTTCAAAGAAAATCTTTATTTTTATTTCTTCTTTTTTTTAAATATCAATAGAAATTCAAATACAGCATACAATGCGGATGATTTTCTTTTAGAAATAGAACATTTTAATATGCAGATTTCTAATCGACTAACACATATACAATCAAGTAGTTTTAAAGTATGTTGCTTTAGAATTCTAAAAATTCAAAAACTTTAAGATAGTTTTAACAAATGGATCAGATTGAACATCAGACATGAAGCCAGTGTCAGACTAAACGGTTTTTTTTGTATTACTTTTAAGAGTACTGAAGCTAATATATATTTGCTCGTTTTTTGACGATTTTTTGTCGTTTGAATGTTCGAGAAGAACGAATTCGAAACTTCGACTCAATAAATTTCGAGTTGGCATCGTAACTCCAGCTCTCAATATTGATTTAATGCTTCCCAAGTGACCTTGCAGCATTCTGAATGCATTGATGACAGGCAAGAAAAGTTACTAATCAATTCAGAACCTAAAATATGTATATATTAGAAATTTTTCATCTGAAAATTACATGCTCCAATTGCACATATAATGAAACAGAAGTTCGTTTTCATATGAAATTTTCGCTGCCGACTAATCTTATGTAACTTTAAAATGAAACTTAGGTTTTAATAAAAATAAATCGAAAAAAAAATATGAAGTCTAGTTAAAAAACGTATATTGTACTCATTTAGTTTTCCTATCGATAATAGGAGTTGACGAATAGAAAAGTTCTTCAAGTAAATGTTTCATTATTTCTTGACTTGTTCGAAATAATTAAAAATAAAGCGGCATTCTACTTTCAGGTATATTAAATCAGTATTTCGAATAAGAAAATGTCAAATTTATCACTTCTTGTGAGGAAATCAAGTATTTATTAACAAAAAAAAACAGCTAAAATAAAAAGGTTCGGCATAAAAATTTTTGAAACAGTTTTCCTGTTGTTTGCTAGTATTAGCGTATATGATAATTTAAATTTATAAATCTTGCTCAACTACTTTATTATTTTTATTCTTAGCAGAAGACTCAATTTGCTATTCGACTATCGAATATACAGTTCTAGGCAAAAGTAGCTGCCCTCCATAAAGCATTACTATTCTTCATGATATTGAGCTGATACTTTGAGTGTATCCATGCAATAATAAATTCTTATCGCAAGCACCAGCCCACCCTCCATCGGTTCACATATACTGATGTTAGGATTCACACATCATCTTTCTCTTGTGATCATTTTATCTTAACCATCTTAGCATAAATATTTTCGTTCGACCCTTCATTCGAAAGGCCATTATCGTCCCTATCTCTAGTCCCAAGTTTGTTAGAAACCATTTTGAAATAACCAAGATATTGTTTTGTCATTAAGAGCATTTGTCAAAATGCGACTGCTAGTTTTTAATAAAAATGGATGTTTACCACAATGACTTTGGCCGAAAATTTTAATAGAAAGTTCGTATGAGACGACATGTCTGTTCTAAAAGTTGTACAGCTACAGCATTGAATGAAGTTGAATTATATCAGAGCGTGCTAATTATTAAAATCTTGTTTATGTATCACGAACTTTGGTGATAATAAAGTGGACATATGGGATTATTTTTAGCGGTAGGATCGTTTTTTTTATTGTTTTAATAAATATCTTGTTCAATCTGTCTGATCTATTTCATTAACAAAAATTTTCATGATAAAAAAAAAAGAATTTTTTTGTTTTCCTAGTATCCTTATTTAAATCCTTCAAAACCTGTGATTATATCCGATATATTCGGTGAATTACAATGGAATTCTAAACCAATGTCAAATCGTAATTTATCTCGACCATTATTTATTACAACAAGCGGACATGGTTCTATACATACAAGTGATGAATTACAAGATGAATCCTTAAGTGTATCAGAAGAAGATTCAATACCAGTACCTGTCATGCGAAGACAAAAACAATGGTCAATTGATGCATGTGGTGTACCACATTTTTTATGTATACTTTCAAAAAAAAATTATCTTCTTTTTGCTTGTGATAAATATGGTTGTATTGATTTGTATCAACTTGATGGAACTGATCCAAGTAATACACCTCGTCATTTACGTCAATTTGATTTATTTCCTGGTAATAATACCAATCAAAAAGCACAAATAATCGAAGCTTTTACTGTTTATACACCATTTATTGTTGTTTCAGCTCGTATGTTGATCCATAAAGAAAGAAAAAAGTTTTCCAAATTGAATTATTTGATTTTATTTTTAAATATAGATTTAAGTGATCAAACAGATACAAGTTCAGTATATTTTTTTGATCATCGTGGTAGTCAACAAGCTGATACTTGTTTACAAAATTTTCCTGTTCGACAACTTTCAGCTGATCCTAGTTTTAAATGTTTATGGGGTGTTGATCGTCATCAACATACAAGTATTATATTTCATAATAAAATTTAATAATTATTATTAACTTTTCTAGTTTATTATAATCAATTACCAATGAATGTTAGTCAAATTCAACTATCGATTGAACATCGAGCAGATTTCATTAAATTTGGACGAGATTTTGAACCGATTAGGTAAGGATTTTTTTTCATGTTTGTAATAAACTAACAAAGGAACATATCCTCTTGGTAGACGCTGTTAGATTTCATATTATGACTCCGAGTAGGTTTCGGTGAGACTAAAAAGAGATTTAAAAGGGTTTGAACGCATAGCCTGATGATGAAGAATTATCGTTGTTTTAGTGAAATTTTTACTGGCAAAAAGATGTTTCTGAAAAATTCAAAACAAAGAGTTTTGACTTGAAATATTGTCTATACACAGATTTGATTGTCATTGGATGGTCTTCGAATTTTCAACAAAAAAGACATGCTGGTTGAAACTTTTCGTACTAGCAAATGTGTCTATAGGCAAAATTTAAGCTCGAACCTCTTTGTTTTGAATGTTTTTCTTGAAATGCCTTGCTCTCAGTAAAAATTTCATTGAAACGGGCATAACTCTTTATCAGTACGCCATAAGGTTTACTCACAGTCACAATAGAAAGTCAAACGGCGTTTCGATAATTAGATATGTGTTCCTTCGTAAGATAAATTTTCCTTTTTAATCTTAGAATAACACAAAATCAAACATCAATTGCAGTTGTTGAACGTAATTCTCAAAGTGTACACATATTTGATAAACAAACAAAAGAACAAATAGATGAAATACAAAATCTTTTACGTACTGAAGGTTCATTTCGTTTATGGAATGTTTTAGTAAGTTTATTTAAATGTTTTAATTAATTGAAAAAAATAAAAAACAATTTTTATTTAGCTTCGTGATAATAATTCAATGGTACTTAAATTAGATGAAGATTTACCACCATATAGTCGACCACAAACAATTCATCATCTTATTGTTGAACTTGATTCAAAAGGTATGCCTATATCACAAATAGAACGTACAGCTGTTTATGGTCTTGCTATTGGACCAAATCAAGAAATTTTACTTGGATGTAAAAGACATCAACAAAATGGCTCAATCGAATGTTACATCTAGATAATAAGATTGTTTTCATATATGATGATCTTATATTATTTCAATTAGCAATGTTTTCGAACAGTTTTTGTTTTCTTTGTTGTTGGTTTTTTTTATCTATTATGGGAGATCTCTATAAATTGTATTTTCTTTTGAGTCAGATTTGTCATTCAATATATATATATATATATCTGAAGAAAACAAGAGGATAATATATTTCTGATTTATTAATACATTTCTTTTTTTCTCTTTCATTTTATTTCTATAAGACATATTGGACTTATCTTAAGAAATGAATTAACTACATATTTTTAGATATATACAAAACTGAATTTTAGGTAAAATTAAACGTAGACGGATTTCGTTTTTAATGAGACACGAAACTACGAAATAATTTTCTTTCATTTAGAAAGAAATTGTAATTTTCATTTCTATTAAGAAAACCTAGTATGTACTGGTTATTTTTAAGGAAGTGGCTATGTGCACCAGAGTGCACATAGCCACTTCCTATTTTTAAATAGATAGAGTATTCATTGTTATTATTCATGTTCTAATATACATGCACGGATGACTTCCCATGTCGCACTATCGACAGCAGATTGTTGATCACAGAACAACTATCGATATATCTGGTAGAATAATATTCAGAGGATGCTCATGTGATGAGGTATGTTCAGATTTCCAAAACAGGAAATTACCCAAATTTCTGAAATTTCCATCAGCGCGCTAACTATATGCAGTTTAAATCAAAAGTTTTTAGACATATTGGAGATTTTGGAGATTTAAGAAATTTTAGAAATTTCTGTAATTTCAATAAGTACATAATTGCGGAAATTTCAGAAATTTCGGATGTTACATCATTTTAGGAAGTAACGTAAAATTCAGAACACAAATGCTTGAAATCTCCGAAGCTTCTGAAATTTTCGTTTTCAGAAGTCTGAACACTGCTGCATGTAATTCAAAATTGGACAAAAACTGCTGATAGATCATTCAGTATAATGTTCAGTATATCGACAATCAACTGGTGGTGATGCGAAATCAAAGAGCCACATGGGTAGCCAACCATTTAAATATCAAACTACAGCCTGTTTATTGGCGGTTTTTGTCCTGTTCGAATCACAGAGGTTCTTCTGTATCAATATCAGGAAATGACGGTCGAAAGTATTTTTATGAATAGGTAATATTTTTTGAACATGAAGTTCCCAGGGAAGACATTATTCTAGCACAAAGAATGTATAAGTTAAAAAGTCCTTCATAGGTTTTGGTTTGAATATAATTCAATATAAATATATAAAATCAGTTCTTTATTCTCATTTTTAAGCCTTTTAAAAATTCTGTTTAATTTTGCTTAAATCTAAAATTTGCCTTCTATATAAAATAACTCTTTCTTATCGAACAAATGTTAATTTGCAACAATCAAAATGTTTTTTCTTTTTAATAATCAATTTAATACTTACACTACAATATGATTTTGAAAAACTCAAGTTTAGAACTTAACTTTTACCTCAAAAATAAAAGTATTTAGGATGGTAAACTTCTTACTCACAACAAAAAATAATGACTGCAGTTTAATAGCATAAAAAGTTCTTTATCGAACGATTTTTTTTTAAACGATGGCTTATTTCTTTCAACTTCGAATTATTTTTAGTGGACAATCAGGTAACAAATTTTCGTGCTGAGTCTTTATCTATTGTTCACTTCATGGTACTCATGTTTATGATTCTATTGGTCATAGTCGTAATATAATCATTCGTTTAAGAAAATGATCCCTTTTAGTAGTCCCATCTCTTATTAGATAATGGTATTAATATTAATGTCTAGGTTATTTTATTTGCTCCTCTCTTAGTATCAATATAATTCCATTAACATTATATTATACAAAAAATCTAATATGAAACTTTTTTTCAGATTTTTTCCGATGTTTTTTATTTTTTAAAAATGTTTTTATAGTCTATACATTGATTTGTTTTTAATATGATCAACATAAATCTTATTACATGTACGCTTTGCCGTAATTTTTTCGGTGATCCTCGTCAGGTAGATTGTTTTATTTTGTTTTTTTCTTATTAGAAAAATAATTTCAATTGATTTTATTAGATTCCATGTTCACATTCATTCTGTTTTGCTTGTATATCAGGTTGTTTTGATGATAAAACATTAATATTAATATGTCCTAAATGTAAAAAACTTCATCAATATAATTCACGTGAAGAATTTGAAAATCGTTGTATGCCTGATGGATTTCTTGCATCAATGGTAACACAATTTAAAAGAAATCAAAGTCGATTATCTGGATTAAAATTTCGACCAACATCAGTTAATTCACAAATGTCAATAACTTATGGATTCTTACAAGTATCTACACCAGTGCGTATGTTATCACAAAACATTAATTCAAATTATGATCAATCATATTCAGAACATTCAACACCATCAATATTTAATCAACAAAGATCATCATCAGTTTTATCACAATCAATAAATCGTTTACTTATAGCCAAATGTCAATCATGTAATATAAAAGGAGAACTAATTGTATGTACTCATTGTGATAATGTTATCTGTATTAAATGTGTTGATGAACATCAAAATATAATTAATAATGATATTAAAGATGAATGGAATCTATGTAAAATTAAATTTCAAACACTTCATGAACAATCAAGTATATATTAAAAAGAAAATTTTGTTGTGAATTTTAATGAATTTTGTTTTTCTTTTAAAGATTGTTTCGAAACTGATCTAGAAGAATGTATGTGTAAAGCACATCAATTGCAGATATTAATTAATGAACAAAGTGATAAATTAATACAAACAATTAATAGTTATAAGAATGCTTATATTGATTTAATTGAAAAACATCGTCGAACTTATAAACAATTGTAAGCTAACTTGCATCATTAATCCCGAATATCAGAAAACAATAACCATCGATTTTTAAAGCTTTTTACAAGGATTTCAATCTGAAAGACAGAAGATTCTAGTCTCTTTCATTGCTTTTTAAACCGTGTTCGTAAAAATCATGACTCATTACCTAGAAATTCTTGTGTTAAATTTTTACTTCTTTTATTGTCAAGCTTCCATAAAGAACCATAGTTTTACACGAAACCATTTCTAAGAGACCTATCTTTTGTATGGTAGGAATCACTGTAAAATTTTCGATGTTTTTTTTTATGTGACAGTACTATGATAGGCGCATATTCTCCTATATAGAAATACATTTTATTCATTGTTTTTTTTAGTTTTGCACATGAACAAGTGATTGATGAGTATGAATCAATTGATAAACGTATTAATGATTTATTAAGGTACATCATATTTTTTTGATTGATAATTGATATCAATATTTTCCTTAGATCTAGTGATATAACTGCTGAAAAAATCAGTGATTTTTCATTTGAAATTGAACATCTTGAAGGTCGATTAGATAATTTCAATAAACTTTTGAATTTACATGGATTAAAGGTTTTTTTATTTTTTATTTTTTATTTCATAGAAATCTATAGAAATCTATTTAGTTTCCCGTACTTACATTACCTGAAAAAATTGATATTTCATTACTTCTTGGTACATTAAAATTTATTCCATTAGATTCTTATTCATCACAACTTTCAAATATTTATAATAATTTACAACTTGAATCTGAGTATGATGATAATATATTTATTGAAACAAATCTTAATAAATCAACTATAAACAATCAACAATTATCACCATTACCTATTCCAATAGTATCAAAGAAAAAACTTTTATGGCAACTAGATTATAAATCTGTACCATATTATATTCGTACTTATAATAATCAATTATTTGTTTGCGATAAATATGGTTCGATTTTATTAAATTAATCAAAATGAAAAAAAGAAAACTGTCTTTGTTCTTTTGTTTATCTTTAGGACATATATCAATATATGAATTCAATAAACTAAATGATTATCGACAAAAACCAACATTTATACGTGAGATAATATTATTTAATGATCATCCAATATCAACAGTTACTACTGATGATCAAACAATAATTGATTCATTTGTTGTTTCTAAATTATGGATTATTGTATTAAAACGTAAAAAAACTGAATTATATGGTATAATATATTTATTTACACATGATGGTAAATTAATACCAAATGGTAAATATTTACATAATTATCCATCACGTGAATTAACAATTGATATAGAAACAAATATACTTTGGTCGCTTGATCAACAACAACTTTGTCTTTATTATTATCAATTACCTGATCAAATAGAATATTCTAATAAAATTGAAAATTATTTTCAAAATCGTTATTTACATGTACAATTTCCTAAAACATTTATACCAAAACATATATCTCTGAATAAAAATGTTTTAGCAGTCTTAGATAAAAAACGACAAGCTGTACATGTTTATAATAAACAAACACGACAAGAACTATATGAACATGTTAGTAATTATAATAATACAACATATTTTTGTTGGGATATGGCATTATTTTCTGATAATAGTCTTCTTATTAAACTTGATGAAACAAATTCATTGAAAACAAATTCATCAAAACATATTTATTTACAGCTTGATACAACAAATCAACATCATGTTATTGGAATGATTGAAGAGATTGATGCATATGGAATGATAATTACATCAACTGATGAAATTTTTATTGGAGTTAGAATAAATAAACAAGGGATTATTAAATGTTATGCTTGAGAACAGTTTGTTTTGTTTTGTTTTATTTTGTTATATGAATGAAGGATTTTTTTTTTGTTTTAAAGATTTTGGAGAATGGTGAAAAAATTTATTTTTATTAGGTAAAAATATAAAACAGGAAAAAGTGATATATGTAACGGTTTTTTTAATTTTCTTGTGAATGCTTCTTATCGAGTTTAACTTTCTTATAAGTCAGACGATGAATTTGAGATGAAATATCTCATCTGAGCATCGTTTTGTGAACAATTCAAGAAGTTATTTGATTTGTTTTCAAGTATCCAGTAAATGGTATTGTTTTTCTAAGACGTTGATTGTCGAGTTCGATGAATTTTAAGCTATAGTAACTAAGTAGAATGTCTGTTGCCTTCAAAACGCAACAAGTCAAGGAAGAAAGTGCAGGTTTGTAATCTCCAGCATCTCAGCACCTTTTTGTACTGAAGATACTGTAGTGCAAATATATATATTTGGAATTAGATTGGAAATTAAGATGATAGCTATAAATGAAAGTGATTACTATTTTAATTCGATTTTTTTCAATCAAGACAAGACTATTTTTTGAAAATAATTTTTTTTTTTTTATAAAGCTTGCCTAAAGATTTCAGAATCGAAGAATCCGAATGTCTAAGCGATTTTTTGAAATTCTTGAGTTCAATTTTTTCGGTTAGTGAAAGCCAATTTCCTGCGGTTTATCTCAATTATTTATTTGAAATAGGCCTCCCTTGACCGAAGGAATATAGCTCAAGTTTTTCGAAAGATCATTTAAAGATTCGGACTCTTCAACTCTTGAAATCTTTAGTCAAGTTTTATAAAAAAACAAAATCGTTATTTTCTAAACATAACCATGTCTTCACTGAAAAAATCGAATTGAATTAGTATGACTCTTACATCTAACTATCACCTTAATTTCCAATCTGGCTTCAAATATTCATGAACATCACAACATCTTCAGCACTTTTTCAGCATTTTGTAGCAAAACTTGGTGCTCAGATGCTGCACTTCCCCCTTGCAACTAGTTGACTTTAAAATGTGAAGTAGTAAAGATTTACTTATATGACAAATATCATACTTATTGAAGAGATAAAGTTGAGAAAAAGGAACGAACATTAAACAAAGACATAACAATAGTGAATAGTGTGTGAGTGTTAGTGTCCTCTCTATGCTTATACTTTGATTATCGTTTGACGTTCAACACTCTCAGATGGACGTCTAGCTTCGAATAGAATGCGTTCTTCATCATTAAATGTTATGATGGTACGACAATTATTAAGAAATTATTTGTTAAATCCACATCGAAAACTTTCCACCGGTTGAAAATCATTTATTACTGGTTATTGCATAACAGTTTTATGTTTCTACATTTTAAAATCAACTCTGATATCTATACATTTACACGGAAAATCAGGAATGAATAGGAAAAAGATAACAGCATCTTTTTTAATGATGACACATTTTTTTTAGTGTATGTCTGTACAAGACGAAGTCTTTATCTACATCTGAATATTATATTATATTCTTCACATTCATCTTACGTATCGACATTTTTTCACATATGTTACAATACCGTTATTATACTTGAGAAGCTAATGTCTTCAAAATAAAAACTTAATCGTAGTGTACAAATTGTTTGTATTCGAAATCTTTATTAGAATATCTATTACAGTAAAATAGAACGAAGTATATATGTCTTCATCATCGAATTGACCAGTTAGTGCCTATTCTTTCATTGAAAATTCTATAAAACTATAACGTTATATACATATATTAAAGCTAAATAAAATAGAGAAGAAAGTTTCTAATTGCTTTGCTAGTTTTGTCCATTAAATCATTTCTGAATATTAACTTTTACTTCAGTTTGAATAGAAAAGAAAACTTATGTGAAAGAATAAGTATGCCTGATTTTTTTCAACTCTCATATTAATTAATGGTGGTTGAAAGTTACTGAATGCACGACTCAAATTAATAAAAAAATGATGATTAAGAAGTTTTTTCTTCAACAATTATTTGCACAGTTTATTATTAAAATGAAAAAAACATAGATGAAATTTATTGTTCAATTGTCGGATTTGTTATAGCATTTCGAATTTCAACAAAAATTTTGTCCCAATTCCATAGTTTTTGATCCTTCATAATAAATGTATATAAAAAAAAAGAAATCGATTTTGAAAAAATAATAGTTTTTACCTCATCATTAAATTGTTCTTGTAAATGAAGTTCATGATATAAAATACCAATATCAATTTTAGGATTCTATTAAAAGAAAAATTATATCAATATTGTGTATTTAATATTTATTCTTACAATATGTTTACTGGTACGTTCACGAGACAAATCTTTTTCTATTTCTTTGAAAGAAGCTAGTTGATTAGCAGAAAATCTAAAAGAAAATTTATTTTGAGAGGTTTAAATATAAAATTTAATATTATTTTTACACTGGAGCAACAGCTACTTGTAGCGTCATATTCATGGGATTATCATTATCAGCTTCATCCATTGGAATTGTAGGAATATCTATCAGTAAAAAACAACAGACATTATTATTATTATCAATAGTTGTTTATAAGTATTACCTGTAGCAATAATTTCTTCGGCTGCTCGACGATTACTTCGTCGGATCACTGGAGGTATATTTGTATTATCTCTAAAAAGATTTTTCAAATTTAAAACTAAACTATAACAAAATAAAGTTATTGAAAAGACGATAAAAATTTTCTCGCAACAATATAACTTGTTATTTTTTCAAGTATATTCGTTATAACCAAATAATGCTAATTTTCTTTTTCATTTCAATAACAACCTACCCACTATCATCATTGCCAGTAATATCATTTGACCAGCCACTAGTTGCTTCAGTAATAGATTTTCGACCTGATTTTTGTTTTGATGATGCAGCAAAACTAGTAGACTATAAATAGAAATGTAGTGTCTATTTGAATATTAGTTATAAAATTTTTCATAATAAAATTTTTTAAGCAAAGTATCTATGATGATTAATCATATTTTATATTTTTCTAAATAAATGTAGCATTTAATCAAAATTCACAAAATGATTAGAATTGAAAGTATTGATTTATTGATCATATTAAGAAAAAAATTCTACTAGAATTATGAATATGTTTTATTAGAATTTCATTAAAACTTTTTTTTTATCACCTTTGATGCACTTTCGAGCATGGCATCAAATGTACTTTCGATTGGTTCATCGAGTACATGAGCTGTTCCTTTTGATTTTTTTTTTGACTAATGATAGAAATCAAATAAGTTATACACGAGAGAAATTATATATAGAATTCACAACGTACTTTTGATTTAGGTGGATCATCGCGACGCCTGTTTTCATCTATCATTTTTTTTTATCTAGAAAAATGTTAAAATTAAAATGAAATATTCAAATATTTTATTTTAGTTAAGAGAATAATCTACAGTAAACGTGTCTATAAGAAAGAAAAACAACTTCAATCTGACTCATTCAGTTCATTTTATATAGATTAATCTGAGTTGAGCATAGCCAAAAATTCATCAAAATTAACTAGAAAAATATAAATAATTATTTAATTCTAAATAATAAACGTGTTTTTTTTCTATACTTTCTCCATCACCATCTAAATCAAATTCATCAATCATTGCTTTAAGTTCTTCTTCATTAACATTATCGCCGAGTTCTCTATCATTAAAAATAAATAAATAAATATATTCTTATATATATATATATATATATATTTTTATATTTACCTTGCAACACGTCGTAATTTTTTTAATGAAATTTTTCCTGATTCATCATCGTCAAATAATTTAAATGCTTTAAGTATTTCATCACGTGAATCACGTTGAAGTATCATTTCGACAGCTAAATAAATAATTAATTTAGTTTATAGTCATTAATCGAATGAAATACTTACCAATTTCATGAAAATCTTGATAAGCTATTTTATTTTTACCTTGACGATCATAATCACGCATTAATTTTTGAACTTCTGCTTTATGAACATCAAAACCTAATGCTCGAAGAGCAACCTAAAAGAAGAAAATTTTATAATGAATCAAAAAACTAAAATATATATACTTTAAATTCATGATAATCAAGTTCATTATCTTTATCATTATCAAATAATTCAAATGCTTCTTTAATTTCATCATTTTCTTCTTCAGTCAATTCACGACGTCGGCCTTTCGATGGTTTTGTTGATTTAGGAAATGTAGGACTGGTAAAACTAAAAGAAAAATAAAATTTTCATGCATTGAAAAGTCTTTAATACAAACAAGAAACTCACTTTCTTTCCATAGTCGATTAGAATAAGTGAATCTAAAATGAACAATACATAGTGACCATCAATCAGAAGAACAAGAGAAAAAAGCTGAGCGACAGCCTCCCTATAATTTACATAACACACATGTGATTGGTTTGAAATTGACGTATTGCATTTTAACCTTTCACCTTCTGTTGGTCACTGGAGTGACCATTTGTAGAATGGTTGTAAAAAATAAAGGAAGCATGGGATTTGAAACCAATAAGAACATTTTTTGTAGTGAACTTCATGGACTATCAATCGGTAAAAAGAATATTTTTTTCATCGCACCGCCTTTAAAATATTCGATCTACAAAATCGATAATTTTGAAAAAATGAAAAAATCCAAATTTTTTGAAACGAAATGTTCTCTATCTGCATTCAATAGAAATCTTTCGAAATTTCTTTGTGATATAAATCGATGAAGAAGCTCGTTAGTGAGTTAGATATGTTTCAAAAGTTTCACGATAACTCGGCGGATTGCATATAATAAGATATACAATTGATCATGGAAATATTATTGAGCAACTAAAAAGCAATCAAGAACAAAGTTAATATACGCATTATAACCTTCAATTCATGAAAAGTTGAAATTATATTTATTATGAATGATATATCTTCAAAGGTTATAAAATGGCTCAAAACAAAATAGATGTTTATTTAAAAAGATATGTCTAAAACGCATGTATTCTTTTAACATTAATTTTCATCGGTTCACTTCTTTTCTTTTTCTATTACTACAATAACATGGGATTGATGTTGCTTGTGCCCACTTAATAATGTGGTCAAAGAAAAAAAAATCAACGCTTATTATGTCATTCAATCCCCTTTCTCCACTACACGGTCATGGAACATTATATTTATAAAATGATTTAATTAGTCGTTCTTCTGGAACCACCGTGAAGAATAGAGGGATAATCTATTATTTGCAAAGTAGTTATGATCAGTATTTCCAATATAAACTATTTCAAGAAAAAGCGAAATGTCCAAGATACTAACGATTTTGAAAAAGTACTGGATTTTGCATTTTACTGCAAAAAATAAAGTACCATGATAATAGTCTGCAAAGTAGAAAAAGCATTTTGCTTATTTGTTGCGGAATTATTGAAAAGTTGCTCGTCGTCTTTGTGTTTATATTCTAATTTCAGATGAAGTTAAGAAATATGTTTGTCTTTTATTCTTATAAAATTTATCATTAAAATTTTTCTTTTTCTTGTTTTAGATTTTCTATCTTATTTCTTATCAATACTTTCTTCATTAGTTCTTTTCGGACGTATTAAATTAGAAATTTCAATTGAATCAAATTTATGAACTTGCGACGAATGTATTAACATGCACGAACAAGAGCAATAATTATTATTATCATCATTTTAATCTTTTTTTTCTTATTTCTAGTATTCATACAATAGTAAAAATTAATTCAGAGAAATATTTCTTAAATCTACTCAGATGAATATAAGTACATTTTTGTCATTATATGTCTGTTATTTTTCTATATAGTTTTTTGTACAAAATCATATTTTTCATAACAAGATACGAATAGAACTAATTTTGACTTTATTTTGGCATAGATGAAGCAGGTGTTTTACCGCTTCATTAAAAACCGTATTGTCATCAAAGTGTTCACCATGTAGAAAGAGTATTCCTCTCATAGAGAATTGTTCATTTGATAGAAAATTGATAAAAAATGGAAGAAGGAAATTTTTAACTTAATAAGCAATAAATCACAACCACTAGTCCGACGCACATGACCAATTAGCGTATTAATAGAACATAGTAACTATAAAAAAGATTATTTTTTGCAAAAATGCTCATAATCGTTATCATGTAGTACTGTACATCTCCTAAAAATATGTTTACATCAATCCTTGAAGATATTTGATGTTATCATGTAAAACATTTCTTTTTTCGTTGTAAATAATCTTAATATTTATTTTCTGAATTTATTTTCTTTCTAATTTTGTATGATACGAACACTCTCTCTATATCATGAACACTTTGATAACTATATAGTTTCTAATGAGACAGTGGAACATCTGCTTAAACAATACCGTTGTTTTTTTCCAATAAAGTGAAAAACTCAGTACTTTTTCAAAATCTTGAGTAATTTTCTTTTGCTTGAAGTACTTAATAATGGGAACACTACTTCTATGTGTGTGAGTTTATAACAATCTTTGTTTTTTGTTTAATCATTAATCAATACAACAATAGAAATAACAATATCGTTGATTAGCGAAAAGATAAGATTTATTTACATGCGAAAGTAAAGACGAAATCAATCTGTAATTGACCGTTATAGAAGATGCATGTTTTATTGGGTCTCTTTCCATTAAATAAAGTAATGTCGAAATATTGACAAATGATTATTAATTACATAAATATGAATTCATTGAAAAAAGTCTTCTCTTCGAGGAAATATGAGACTAATAGAGAAATGTTTTTGCCATTTTACTTTCTCATATGACTTAAAGACATATTACTACTTTAGACACGAGAGTTTGCCATTTAACTCGAGCAATAGCATTAGAAATGATCGAATAGGATGTTCACATGTGTTCAGTAGGTGTGCAGATCTCATCAATGAAAGACCACAGAGAAGAAAACAAAACCAAAACTGAAGAGAACCATATGAAGTTTGAAGTGAAAGTTTCAATTTGTCATGCAGCTAGAGCATCTGAAAATATAATCCACTATCAGAGTCGGTTTTTCTTACTCAGACGATGCGCATTTTTCAGTCGGTCAAATCTATTTTGTCAACGGCGAATAATTTCTGGTCATTTCTGAAATGGAATTGATTCTCAATATTAATTTCTATTATTATCTCAATCATCACAGATCTTTGCCGGATTTGATGGTATTGTGATTAATTTTGATTTCCATCGATTAACTCTGTTATATCGATCGAAACTGACATGAATATTGAAACAAGAGACGATCGAAGATGAATAAGTGATTATTTAAATAAATAGTAATATTAATGACTATCCAAGGTATTGAAGTGTGTCCGATCGACTAAAACAATAATTCATTTTTCTGTTTTATATTTGAAGAAGTGCACAAACATTCAAAATCAAGACTGATCACAATGAAATGCCTTTTTTTATCATCTATGAATTGAATATCTCAAAATCGTCTCTCTTTTCATAAAAATATTATGTGAAAATACATGTCGTTGGCTCTCAAGATAAACCATTTTGTTTTGTTTTCATTTAAATCTGGCAAACAAACTGTGGTTTGTCAACCAGATATGTTTACAATAAACATGATTGATTATCGATTTTCATTCCGAAAATGAATATTCCAATTATTGATCGTATTCGTTGATTGATCGGCTCAGAATTTAAAGCGTAGATGTGTAGGTTTGAGAGTCTGCTCCTCAATCAAATCCACACCCAAATCCACTAGTCTCTGGGTTGCGTACTGATTTATAATAGTTGGGTCGACTTCCAGAATTTCGAACTTATTGAGAATGATATTGTAACTTTTGTCTATTTCTATCAGCTCTTCACTGTTCAAAAAATCCTTTCGAACTCTTTCATGGATAACACAGATGCCGACAAGGATCCGATCGAACAGATCACATGAAGTCTTTCTGACAGGATGATTCACTACATTGATCGTGGAAAACAAGAAAAGATATACATCTTTTTCATAAATTTCATTGATCTGATCAGCGATGCTTGGCTTCGTGGTATGGACAGGACGAACGCTTTTTTTCTTCTTGTCAGTTCAATAATGGAGAGATTGATTTTTGATGGCAAAGCGATTTCGTTCAAAATCTAATTTGATTTTCAGTCTTCTGATTCTCTCTTCTTCTTCTTTCTGAAGAAAAAATTGATGATCAATATGAAAATAAATCGAGATTCTCGAGTCAAAACGAATCTTTTCATTTCGAGAAATCGAATTTCAGAAAACGAATTTTATTTAATGAAACATAATAAAAATTTCATTTTCTCGTCTGGTCAACATCAATCAAAGCTATGGACCACCAATAAAGCTAAGAAATAGATCAATTTCAATACGTTTCAGTACATGTTTGATTCTGTAACGAATATTTACTGTCTCTCAGATGCTACTTTTTGAGATCGATGAAAACCCAAGAGATTCCGAACAAAAACGAGAATGATTCGATCAAACGGTTTTTTTTCAATAGATCGATCTCATCAAGAATTCTGAATGGTAATATCATAGACCGATAGAAATATGTGAACTGATTTTGTTTTCAAAAATAACAGCGAGAAAGCGATGATTTTTCATGTGAATAATTGAGATTTATAAGAGAAGCGTTGAACAATGGTGTTGTATTTTTTCGAAAAAATAGCGACTTGTTTAGTTTAAATCGAATAAAATCTCATTTAATATTCATACATGCAGTGGTATACATTCTATAAATCGAAAAGTACATGATCATTGAGTAGGTTTCTTTTTGACAGCTTCCACTACAAGTTGCCTCCAGACCACCATGCCACTCTTAAGTTGGTCAAAATAATGATATGCATCACCCACTTGATGCCAGTCGCTCGAACAGTTTTGTGGTGGCTTCTTGTCATTACCTTCGTCTTGCTTTTTTCCATAGAACCTCCACCAACAATTATTAAAACCACAATTCGTCGGTTGAACATAAGTTTTGCATAGAGGACACACAGTTTTGGTATCACTAGGATCGAGCAGAATATCGAATTTCGTGTAACCCATTGGCATAATAACAGTGCGATCATAAGCTTCGCATTGAGGATTAGTACATTGACCTTCAAGACATAAACCACACCTTGTTATTCGCCAGCGTGGAGCATCTTTAGACCAATTACGTCGTATTAAACCTGCACTATTGCTAACATCGACAAATCTCAGTCCGAAAACACCGAAGTTTCGACCTTGGATATTGAGATCAGATAATCCAAGTTGAGAACCTTCTTCCACACCATAAGACGATAGCATTTCCTCATCTTCATCGAGTATATCTATATCAAAAGTCAACGACATGTTTTGTATATTTTTCACACGATCACCGGCCTTTTCATAAAGAAGTTTTTTGAGTTGTTTAATAGTGGTAGAGGGCTCAACATCAAATCGATAGGTCTGTCCTTCCCCAGTAGTGTTTTTAATGGTTATCTTCATGTTGACACTATAAATAAGTTAGTCAAATCATTAATTTCTAAAGTCCAGTAATTTCTTTTATTATATCACACACACATTTTAGTAACTACCTAAGTATTGATTCTGTCAAAATCTCGAAAACTCTTTTAAAAAATAATCACTCACATTCGAGTCAAATGAAATTTACCTCTTTGAATCAATATAGTATTAATGACTCTCACGTCGCTCGGGCGATAATGATGAGGCAAATAGCAATCTGAAATTTAGAATGATATAAAACAAAAATGATAAAAGACGTTGGCATCTATATCTGATTTCTTTTACTTTGTTTCATAGTAGCTTTTGTTAAACTCAAATTACCTCTCAACTTTCGAGTTTTCAACTAAAATCGTCCCCTATATACTGTAACCTCCACATTTTGACCCATCTACATACACTTCAATGCTCGACATCTTTTCAAACAGAATGAAGAACATTAACTGAAAAAAAAACTTTAGAGATGTGGATATAGTCTAAGAAACTCTAAATTACGTGGGACTGAATTTTTTATACCAGTCGCCAAAAAAACAGAATGGGATTTGTGTCGATTGCTACTCAATCGTTCGTACAAACAGTTGGAATTCTCCAGAAACTCGATGACCAATAACTTTTCATACTTATGAGGAGACAAACCTTGTTTTACTTGTAGTGACTCAACACACCTGACTAACGGCATAGAATGTTTTATGTTTATTGTGAAAGAATTCTTTTCCGTTTTTTTCTTCTTCCAACTTTTACTCTTAGTCTACATTGGTCGATTATGAGACGAATAGTTTTCTGTCATAAATAACTGGAAATAAACAATGAAAACTGAAACAAAGAACACGATAAGCATCATAGTGAAGAGAAATGATTGTGCAATAAAACACTTGGAAAAGTAAAATCAGCGTCAAAGCCGAAGCAGAACATTAATAGATTTAGTCTCTTTCTGATAAAATTTTCTAAATGATCGTTGTTTTCACCATAAAAAAAAACTTCCGCTACCATATTTATTGAGAGAATACCTTTAAAAAAGGACACTTCTCAGCATGATTTCTTCTGTTTTTTTCGAGTCTCTAGACATAGCGAACAGTTTTATTTCTTTATTAGTGGCGAAAAAACCATATTGGTGATGAACTACTCTTAAATTGAAACGACACTGGTTCAAAAATTCGATGTATATCGTGCTCTTATAAGCGAATAATGCTGTTAACCATGTTTCGTCTTCAGCAATGAGTCATTCAACATATTCTTCTATTAGAGTGCTTGTTTTTGGTACACAACAACACAAAAACTGTGGTTCGATTTGGCATTAGTTCTATTCTTGATGTTGTACTACACATTATTGCTGCTCTATCTGAACCGTCAAGATTGTTTATGAGAGATATAAATGTTTTATTGAGATCCAGAACACTTTTATCGATGCCAATCTCATTCTATGAACTATTGGCTAGAACATGTTGTGATTTTATCGTAATGGCATAGTGCGTGTAGAAGAATGAATTTGAGAAGAAGTTCAAAGAAGAACGAATCTTTTCCATGTAGAACATTCCAGAATTGAACTTCAAGGAAATGTCAATTATGAGATTTTACAAATAATTTTTACTCTTTCTCGTATCCGACTCACACATCTATTCATTACTGATCGTCTCATGAAGAAAACCAATGTCGAAAAACGTACTGATTTCGAAGAAATCGTAAAGAATCGAAGGATCTTTTTTGATAAGCAAGTAACACTGATTGAATTCTCCTGTCTGAATGTTTTGTCGAAGAAAAGAAGCACAGTTAAGTAACTGGCTGAGATGCACTCGGCATCGTCAAACATGCTCTCTCTCTCTCTCTCTCTCTCGCGTTGATAAGAACGTTTAAATTGTTTGCATCGATTGAAAGATTTTTTCACTTGACACGGTGTTTGTTCTCCATTATTGTGCACAGTCAACATCGAAACATTTTTTTTTCATAATCGACTACTTTGTTTATAATTCTTTGTTGTTGATGCACACTGGGTGATGAAATGATTTCTTTGCGAGTTTTGTTTTCATACGAAGGGAAGCACACAAAGATGATGGATTACAAAACGTCAAAGCATCATTTCTGATTCCAATCGTTTGAATACAATTCAATGAGTTCATTAGAATATGTTTGATCAAGTATTTTCGGTGGCTATCATCTCAGTTTATATCAAAATAATTGATGGACCTCGATAAGATTAGATGAGTAAGAAATTTTTTTTGGTTTCTCCTTAGACAATCAGTCGAACGCAGATTCGATTTGATTCGATTCTGGAATTTGGATCAGATCATCAGATGAAATATTGCTTTGGACTATTGAACATGATCGAAATCAGTTCGAAATCAATCTTATATTGAAATAACTGGGCAAACGCAGTTTGGTTGGGTCATTCGAGTTGTCAAAAAAATACTTTAAGATGAGAATCTCTTTTAGATATGCACAGCAGCCAGAATGTCATCATCGTGAAGTGATTGAAATAGTCACTGGAAAATAGAAATCGATGATTGTGTCGTCTGATTTCCCATAATTTTGAGTGATTTTTCCAGGCCATTAAGCAATCCTCTGAGTTCATAATGTTTCGAGCAGAAATTCGGTTTGATAGTAAATGTTTTGTTTTAGATACGTTGAATATCTTGTCTCGAATCATAGATCATGAGTAACAAAACTGTTTCTTCGCCGAATTCAATCACTACATCAACATCAGTGATGAACAAGACGAAGAAGATAGATCGATCTGTAGATGTCGAGAATGTTTCTCGATGTGATCGTCATTCAATGAGAAAAGAGGATAATCATGAAAGTATTGTCTTTATCCGTTTGGATACTGAAGGATCATCGTCGACCAATCTAATTGGTCCCCTTCGATCAATAAATGATTCTGTTCGATTTTATTCGAACTCTGCATCTTGTTTGGATGCCATACGATCTATTAAAGAGAAAGTTTTCTTCATCTGTTCGTTTTCTAACATCGAATTGTTGATGACAGTACAGAACATCGAAAATGTCGAAGCGATATTTATTCTCGATCCCAATTCTCAAGATATCAAAAGTGATTTTCCAAAATTAATTGGTGTTTTTACTCAACAAGAAGAATTATTTCGATCATTGAAAGAGACACTCGATATTTTCGAACAAATTCAACTTGAAAGATTTTCATTTGAAAATGAGACTTTGTTTCTTTGGTATCAATTGTGGAAAGAAGAGGTTAGTTATTTTCTTGCAGATTCTGAACATGAATTTTAACAAAACAAATTCTTTTATTTAGCTAACAAATCGAAAATCATCGTCAAACAAAACTGATTTCATTGAAATGGCTCGACTGTGTTATCGAGATAATGGTCGAATAATGGAAATGATTGATGAATTTGAAAAGTCTTATCGATCATCCGAGATTGTTCATTGGTGTTTTCGTTCTCCATTTCCGAGTCATTTTCTTCATCACGCGATTCGTTCTCACAATTTGGAACACTTGAATATGTGTCGATTTATGTTTATCGATGCCAATCGTTTCTTTCAACAACAACCGAAACATAAATCCAGTGAACAATTTTATCGAGGAATGAAATTAACCAAAGAACTATTGGATCAATTCGAAAGTCATGTTGGTCAACTTGTGTGTACAAGTGGATTTTTTCCATGTACTAAGTCGAGAACAAATGCATTGTCATTGGCATCATCACCCGGTTATCGTTCTGATCTTTTATCTGTTCTATTTAAAATCGATTGCGATTCGACAAGTATATACAGTCAAGTATCGAACAAAATGTTATCAAATGTGATTGTCTTCAATGTTTCAATTCCATTTCGAGTGATCAATGTCCATCGAGGACAAATGTCCGTCATTAAGATGAAACCAGCAATCACAGATGGAAAACGAATTGTGCAAGATTATCTTGAACAACATCATGATCAACCGATCCAGTCAATATTCGATCAACTTTCGGTGCCTCCGCGAGTTCAAACTCCTTCTCCACCACCACTGCTTCAAACAATCACATCAACAACCCCCATTTCTACCAGGTATCATAACGATATGACCTTGATTGGTTGTTGTTTGTGTCAAAGAGTAATTCATGTCGATCTCTTTTTCGAAGTTCACCTGTCAATAATGATGAATTGGAAGCACAGAAGCATTTAGAACGAGGCGAAATCGATTTGGTCTTAGTTGCCTATCGACGTATTCATCCTGTTTCTGCTCGAATTCTAAACATCATGGGACGACTGAGTGCTGAGAAGAAGAAAGATTACGATTATGCTTTGGAATGTCACACACAAGCATTGAAAATTCAAGAACAGGTCAGATGTTGAGTGAGAAATATCATAAGTCAAACTTGATTTCTTATCTACTCGCAGACAGGTGAAGATTTTTGTGACACATTGACTGATTTGGGTAATACTCATCATCGCCGTGGTCAATACGACTTAGCTTTGGACTATCATCGGCGTGCTCTTGTTCTTCGTGAAAGTGTACATCCAAGTGATGTAGCCGCTCAAGCAACTTGTTTACTTGCAATTGGTAATGCTCATTGGGCTCGTCGAGATTTCGAACAAGCTATTGACGCGATACAACGTGCATTGACTTTGCAAGAGACTGTGCAGCCAGTCAACGAAGTCAATATCGGCTCTACTTTAGCGACGCTTGGCAGCATTTATCAAGATTCGGGAAAACATCGCCAAGCTCTCGACATGTGCACACAAGCATTAGCCATTTTCGAACGAAATCTCCCAGCCGATTCACATGTTATAGCTGAATTACTAGAAGACATGGGCGCCATTCAATTGGATCTACGAGCACTCGATGATGCTAAGCAAAGTTTTGAACGCGTTGTCAATATTTATGCGAAAATTCTTCCACAAAGACATCCCGATAGAGTACCAGCAGAAGTCGACCTTGAACGTGTTGTTCGGCTGATCCAGAAGAAAAAAAACAAGTTGAAAAAGCAGACCTGAAAATAACTTCTTAAAATAACTTCTACTTTTCATCCGACACAGCAAATAAGGATTAAGAACATTGCATCTTCGAAATGACTTATATTGATTTGAAACTTTTTAAAAAAGACACTTCATCAAATGGCGGTAAAGAACCCGAATTTCTGTTGCTTGGAACACTCATCTGTTTCTTTTTTCATCTGTATAAACGAATGAATGAGGAACCGACATATTTTTCGTTACTGCATTGTTTCACAAGAGTCAGAATCTAAAAGAAGTTTGCTAAAGAAGATTTCGAGAATACGAGAATCGAGTCTGATGTTCAAACTTCGACTCGGTTTTCATTGATTTTGAAACGAAATCTAATAAGCACTGATTTTGTCAACTGAACTTGAGGATTTGTATCCATGCAGAAAAAAATCCAATCAATAGTTACCGAAAATAATGATTAATGAACATATATAAAATCTTTGAGAACTTGTTCAATCTCAAGTGTTGACAATGATCTCAGATGTCTGTTTAGCCGATTCAAAAATTGATGACGTATCAAATATGTATTTCCTTGAACGTTCTTCATGAGATCAACTTGGAATTTATCAAATGTCGATTAATTTCAAAGAGATTTTCAATGAATATCTCATAATTACTTTCATTTTGTTTCTGCATTTTAAGAGTTCACCGATTGTTTCTCACTTTTCAATCAAATCTCAACGATCTTCAAATACGAGAAATGTTCTAACAATGGAACCTTCTGTATTGTTAATCCAGTTGATCGACCATGTTCGGGTCGAATGAAATCTCTCACCGCCAAACTAACAAATTTAAAATATTACGTCCCCATAGCGTACCTAGAGCAAGTTACTTAAATTTCAAGGTATGAAAAATGTAGGTATAAAAATGAATCAGTAAAGGCTTCCTCCACTATTGTAAGGACAAAACATAGTGTTGATCGGACAATATGAAAGAGAGCCCCTTCAAGCCCCTGATCGGCTCGAACAACAGCATGTTTTGTCCTTACAATTGTGGAGAAAGCCTTTACCGATTCATTTTTATACCTTGAAATTTAAGTAACTTGCTCTAGGTACGCTATGGGGACGTAATATTTTAAATTTGTTGGTTTGGCGGCGAGAGCTTTCATTTGATCCGAACATGGTCGATCAACTCGATTAACAATATAGACGGTTCCATTGTAAGAAGAAGCAAATGTCTGCTTACTTTCAAGTGAACTCAGTTGAAAATTATCTATTGGTTATCTTTAAGAAAAGTCAGAACTCGAAGCTAGATGAAGGGTGTTGGCGTGAGTGTAAGTGTGAGTTTAGACATGACAATCACATTCACATTCCACACCTATACTCTACACCCATACCACACCCATGAATGCAGTTCGGCGATATGTGTGAGGGCTGAAAGAAGACCGGTGATGCCCACATTTCATACATCCACATACTCACACGTTTAAGTAAAAATAGAATAGAATTCGCTCATCTTTTCAGCATTAATAGAAACTAAGAGTTTTGTACATAAATGTAATAAAAATAAGATTTAGTTTCTTGATGTCTTCACAAAAAACTTTTACGGACGAAAAAAAAAGTGTCAGTCCGCTTCGGTTGAAACGGCCAATAAGTATATTATAGAGATAATTGATAAGCTCTATAGCAATGAGTCAATATACGATGAGTAATCATTAAACAGGATTTGTTGTTGTGTTAGTATTGAAAGAGCGTCGTAAACGAAGAACAATAAAAGTATGTATGAAAGTCAATACGGCTGCTGTTAAATATATTGGTGAAAACCAAAAGAAGAATCGAAGAAATAATAGAAAAATTTTCATAATCAGTACTCCAAGACAGCATAAAATAACATTGAAAATCGTTTTATCTATTATCGTGCCAATTTCAAACGCTTCTAATGGCCCTCGGAGTGAGCAACCGAAACAAAAAAGTATGAGTCCAACAGAAAATATGATCCACTTATCGGGGACGAATCGAAAAAAGTACGGAATGCCAAAACTTGATAGAGAACTAAATAACATAATAAGAGAGAAACCTTGATAGATGTGCTTTGCAATCCAACTTAGGCAAATTACATAGACTCCGATGATGACAAGACCGATTGTTAGGAAACCAGAAAACGAAATAATCCAAATGAGATATGGTGCTTTTCTCCAATTCTTCAGAATAAATACTATCATCAAAAATATATGATACAAATGACCACATCCACGTTCTCGTGCCTGTCGGATTGTATCAATACCGAGTAAATTCGTCGGTAATCGTGAATTTTGTCGTTGTTCTTCGAACGAATTTAACGTATTTAACATGGTTTGAAGCAATTGCATATTTCTTTGCTCTGTGGTTAATGGAAGTATTTCTTGTTGTCCAGTCGTTCTCGATCGTAGTGTAGCAAATTGTTGGAACATATCATTGAATCGATTCATATAGCATTCATTAAAATGATTTCTAAACTCGGTTTTTTCTATGAACGATTTACAGATTGTACATCGAATCGGACACGGAATACAATTACCAGCTACCTGAATATGTTCAATAAATTCTGATACAAGTATCAATTTCATGCATTCAGGACATGTTCGAGTCAAATATTTACATTCAACATTTTCATGTCGTTCTAATGAATCATAAGCTAAAACTTCAGAACAGCCAAATGGAGCATTTCGACAGTGAATTTTTACACGTGATAATAACGAATGAAACGACGGTGGACAACGTCGTTCGTCGTATGATTGACAACGAAATGGACATGTTTTGTCGTTTTTTGAATATTCTAGCCAAGTCTGAATACATTTTTGACAAAATAAATGTTGACACGACGCACATGAACGTGGATTCCATAGAAGACAGCGACAAATTGGACAAAAATATTCATCTGCTAGAAGATGACCATCAACAATTTGATCTCGATCGATATCACCACCCTCCATCAAAGAATTGTATTTGGCTGCTGAATGTCCATTAACAGTAGCCATTAATTTCTATCGACTCAGAACACTATTAGTATAGTTAAAATCTAAAAGCGAAAATATAGGAAGCAATATGTTGCTATTGTAAAATAATTTTTCTTTATATGCTTGGCAATCTAAAATCAACAGCAAGGTAGGAAGAAAAGTAAGACGTAATAAATCCATGTGTCATTGCACAATCCAAGCAAACACAATAAATGACTCATTGTAAATGCCTGCCAAGTATTTTTTCTTTCTTCGAACTACTTGAAAATCTGGTTGAGAATCTATTTGTATGCTGGCTTACTACCAAATTGTTGAATTTCTTTTTTAAGTGTCGTTAGTTTCAAAGATGGACACCTACTAAATTATTTTTTTTCCTTTAGATATAAATCAATTTGATAGATACAAAGGAGCTATTCAATATTTTCAAAATCTCCCACAAGTTTCTTAAGGATCTTCAAGTTCTTCCAAGTCAGAGCTGTCATCGGCCACGATGATTCTCATGTCATTCGACTTATTGTTCAGTTTTAAATAAAATGATGTAAATTTTCGCTTGGATAGTTATTTCGAAAATTTTAGCAATTACTATTAAGATTTGCGTATCACCTGTTCAAAGATTTGATGTGAAATTGAAGCAGTTTTAATCAAAACACAAAAATGGACTACATAAAATATTTTGTATAAACGTCATTTTTGATCTTCATCAAAGATTTGCTCTCACTGCTTCAACTTCAAGTGAGAAGAAAATTCTGAATACATATTTAAAGAGAGCGTCAAATTCTTATTCTAACTGATTGCTTTTCATTTTCTCAATTTATTTCTAAGTGACCGAAAGATGGACAAACATTTCGTACGAAGACTTTCTTGACAGGGGTTACTTCAGAATCCGTTTCTTAATTGGGAACATGTTGAAGCCATGTTAATGTTCCTTTTGTACTTGCTCTGAAAAAAGTTCTCATGCTCATAAGATCCAAGAGACACAATATATACTCGTGCGTGTAATATACGATAAGATATCTGTAAAATAGTAACATATTGGGTATAAATTCATTATATTTTAATTAAAGCTTTCTTTAACATTGATTTTATTTTAGAAATTTAGAAAAGTTTTTTATTACAAAATGGTCTTTTAAAAATAAAAAGAACACAATTTCATGTAAACATGTCGGACTTTGTTCTATGAATACTTCTTATGAGTCTGAGAACACATTTATTTTCTTAGTAAGATCGAAAACAATTTTTTGAAGAGGATACAAAATAATGCACAGAATGTATATTCGATTGGTGATTTTCTAGAATTGTCTGTTCGCATAGCGACCATATACATTGAAGTTAGCTTCAGATTAATAACTACTCTAGTAGTAGATTTCACTCAAAAATCTCCATCCATAGTAATAAAACCTCAACACAGACAACTGACTTCAATAAATTTGAAAAGAAAAAGAATTTTCTTTTCTTCTTCAGCGATTAATTCATTGAGAAATTAAGATAGTGTCAGTGGAAAGTCTTATGCTTTAGAAAAAAAAAGAATACTATTAGAAGTTTACTAGGATGCTATGGTACATTAATTGTATTGTTCTAAGGGCTCTTGTTGACCACCTCCAGATCTCTTTCTTTTACAGGATAATATTTGTTTCTTTCTCATTCTATGTGTGAGATCAGAGAATTGAATTTACTTGGTAATGATTTATTACGGAGAAATGAACTAAAACTAGAATTTCATGGTCAGACTAGCAGAAAATATGACTTTTTTTGGCAAAACTTCCTCTCATGTCTATTACTTGGGTAATGGCTTAAGCAGCTCTTGAGATGCAAAAAGAATGATGAAAGTAGTCTTAACTTTAGCTAAATTTCGGCTCAGAATACAATATTTCTGGAGATAGTTCACTTTTAGGATTCTTGCAGATACTCAAAGTTCGAACCAGTTATTTTACTATTTAAGACTGGCTGTTTTGAAGCCCGTAGGCCTTTTGCTTTTGGATGACATCCGATTCTTCTTATTAGCTAACTAAAAATGGTTGCAGTGAAAACTGAACCCGAGCTCGACCTTAGAGACCGAACCCGAACCTGAACTCTGAAATCGAACCCGAACCCGAACCCTGACACTAAACTCGAACCGAACCCGAATGTTCGGGTTCGTTGCGTGCCTAGGTATGAGTGTAGATATGAGTTTAGACATGACAACCACATTCACATCCCACACCTATACCCTACACCCACACAATTTTCGTTCAGTGTTTTTCGGTTTTATCATGGTCCACTGTTACTTAATGGTTGTCCAAATATAATAACGAGAATTGTCATTCAACAAAAGACTCAAAGATATTAATTAGTATTTTATCTTGATTTTTTAATAAAATAACATAATCTGTATTGTATTCTTACTTATCAAACTGTGATACGAGATGTTTCAACGTCTTCTAGTTTTGGTCGTTTCTTTTTGCCTCTTTTCCAATGGGTTTGTGATCCAGAGAAAAAGAACAAACGAAAGCATCTCCATTCGATTATTCGATTTGATTTCGGTCTCTACTCGTGATTCATTCGGAAAATAGTTGTTAGATGTAAAATTTGAGCAAAAGAATGAAATTTATATCGAAAAATTATTTCAATTTCAAAAGAGACTCGTCATATATCATTATTAATAATTCTTAACATTGATTCAAGAAATGATAATGCAACATGACGATTGAGTGATGTTGAGGAAAACTTTGATTATAAGTCGTAAGATTTGAATGTATTCATTTAAGTTCTTCAATTTACTTTTGTGACATTATTTGTTCACGAAAAACTTTAATCAATGGATATATTTTAAATCCAAGTTTGACCTCGTGAATATTTCATATTCATTTCTCAATTGTGGGTATTAACCTTGAATAAAGAGCTGACATAGAAATGTTACTTGAATATTATGTTGGCTCATAGCATGATTTAGAAGACAACAAAAAGACGTCGATCGTGCATACTATCAAATAGCTTCGTCTGATGTGTAATCGTCTTCAAGTTCTTTAATTAAATTTAATTCTTCTTTATTACCTTCATAAAAATCTCTTACGACGGAAGATTTCCAACTGATTCACATCGTTTTCGCTGATATTTTGTCCATATGTCGCGGATAGTATTCTAAGAAAAGTCCTAAAAAGATTTCGACTGATGTTTTTTTCCATGTCTTCGAACTCGAAAAAAATTCAAATATTTAAGAAATACAAAATTAAGAACAAACTATTTAGAAACAATTCTATATTAACAATAATTAGACATTCACATTTCAATCATATAAAAATAATCACCAACATATGCTTTTACAAGAAAAAAATAAATATAGTCAATTATAACTCTGTATCATTTAAAGAACAATGTTTACATTTTGCTATTAACTAGTAAATAACTAAGACTGTTAGTCCAATAAAAACCAAACAAGTTGTCTTATTCATAGTCTAGCAAAATCTATAAAAAAAAGCAAACTAAAGAAACTGATTCTAATCTTAACTAGATTCCAAAGTCAACTGCAACATATACAATGCATTTCGGCAGGCCTATACTGTTTTATCTTAAAACCTAATGAAACTTTCAAAGTTTGTAGGGCACTATGCGCTAATGATCTTGGTATTAAATGTATTGATGCTCTATTGTAATGTCTTTGAATGTTCATGCAATAAAAATAATATCACTTCCTATTTGGTGTAATAATTCAAAAGTCAAATAACGTGTTCAACTCGAAAAACGTTTATCAATTGCATGCTCATTACTGGTCATTATTGCCTTTTCTCGCGAAATCGTACAAGTAGTCCGTAGGCAATAATTGAGGATCTTATATCAGTGTAATATTCAATTCGTTCATTTGGAATATGTGGACAAATACGTTTTGAGCCAGCTCCGATTGTTTCACCTTGAATTATAAATGAGTTTGGTTGTTGTCGACATTGAAGCACAATCTGCGCTTCATATAAGGTATTATTCATGCTCGAAAAAAAGTCATTATTCGGAGCGTATATTGTCGAACTTGAATAAGCAATAGTGGGTGATGTAAAAATGAATTTTTTATTAGGAATATGTCCGTCTCTAATACCTAATATGGTCCCATCAATTAATTTATCTCCTGGTAAATAGAAGTGTCGATGAGTAAGAATTGATCGTGCAGCTGTTTTTGTAGTTCCATGAAATGTTACTATCCACTTATTCCAAATATCATGCTCGTCTTCATGAATAGGATCGACACGAAGACTTAAACGAGTCCAGCCACGTGGTATGACATATTTAGCATTACCTCCTGAGATGACATCACTCCATGAAATTGGATAACACTTAGTACAATAACATCGATCTTGTGAGCCATCAAATAGCGTTTTATGCCAGTTTAACGAATTAACAAATTCCTTTGCAAGTGATATCAAGAAACACTGTGAAATTTGCAACGATGTTGTAATGGCTATAGATTTTATGAACGTATGTTGTGGACTTGGAATAGTTTCCGCGACGGATGATGCTCTCGTGTCTAAATGGGACATGCCATCATCATCGGACTCTTCATATGAATCAGAGCTGCATAAGCTTTCCACATCATAATTATCATCTCTGGAATCGATAGATTGTGTTTCCCTCGATATTGGACGAGCCCAAGACGTTCTACTTATCGCTTGTGTAGAGGAATAAGATGTTTCATATGGTGGCCTTGCATAGTGGAATAATAAATTTGTCGATCTTTGAGAATCAGGAAACACTACTGGTGATAGTGGTGGTGTGCAAGATAGCGAAATATCTGTAAACATACAAAAAAAAATATTTTGTCATTTTTTCATGTAAAAATCAGGACCTGGTGAAGGAGTTTGATTCACTTGTTGTCGATTTTTCTTGGAAGATCCGCTCCCCATTTATGAGTTTCTTACACTAAAAACTTTTACACGTGCTGCGCTAGTGTAACCAAATGAAAATGTCGTACTGCGTCAAAGCTACTTGCATTTTGTGAATATTGCAGTAATAAAAGATAATATATCGTTGTATTGACATAACAAATAATATGATAATATACTTGGTAATCTTGTGACAATATAAAATTTGATGTTTTAAACTCATACTTTTCGCTGAAGTATTCAGTTTCAAAATATTATTCTACACGAAAATAGAAGCGTAGAATGAAGTAAAACTATCAAGTGAATCATCGTTTATTGTCTTACAACTTCAAAAAGAGAACGACAAAAGATATGATAAAGTAAATAGGTAACCAGAATCTATTACTACGTACAAAGGACAGCTTTTCTCTCAGAAAAAGAAGTCAATCCTTATTAGAAGACTATATCTCATGAGAATTTCCAAGGGTATCTTACAAGGCCAGGTTCTTTTGTAAGCCCTTTGTTTAATTCTTGTAGTGTGTCTGGGTGTGCATATGTAGCTGTAGATGTGATTATTGTTGAAGTTGTGACGGTTGAAGTGTATGTAAATATGAGTGCGGACGTCTGTGTGGGTGTAGATGTGTACATACTTGTTTCGGTAGGATTTGCGTATGTGTATGCATATGGGTATAGGTGTCACTGGAGTTCTGTGTGCGCATTGATAAGGTGAAGATACAAATGGACGCAGTCTCATGCATGCCATTACTAGCAACTACACCAGACCACAACCACACCCATAGATTCATCTATTTTCAAACGGAGAGCTCGTGAAAAAGGAAAAGTACCGCGAAGTCATAATCGAAAGAAAACCTGTTGGTGGCTACATCCGTCGTCAATATTTAGATAGAATTGCGTACATTAAGTTTGGAATTGAAAAAAAATTGCGAATTTTCAATTTTATGTTGTAGCCATTGTTCTAAACATCGAGCGGCAAATTCATCGAGCATTGTGGCTTCTAAGTGAGAAGAGGTAGGAAGACGAAAAAAATTGATTACGGATTAGCAGATGTGTCTACATGAAATAAATATTGTTGCAATAACGAGCGAACGATACAACGTAATGATTGAACTTCGTGATCAAGAATTAAATATTAAATTTTTTCGTACAATAAAAGATCGCTGCTTATTACATTCATTTGTTTTGTGCCTACAAATTTCATCACAGATACCATAGCAAAAATGAAATACACACTATTTATTATTCCAGTTCAAATTTTATTCTTAAAAATGCATACTCTATGGATTGATGACTGAAAAGTGGAATTAGATGTTGCGTGGCAGTTCGGACACCCTGAAAAGCACGATCTGTTACAAATAAGGTTTGCCATTTCATTATATTCTGAGAGTCGTTGATACAAAAATATTGCCTCTGTTACATCAGAGAATATCGACAATATATCATTTTCATAGCTTTCAAGCAAGAAAGAGTAGTTGTTGAAAGTCGTTATATTTACCAGACCAAATATAAATATAGCATTATCTTCGTAATCTCTATCCATTAGTTGTTATCTATATAAAAACTCATACGTGCTATAACTTAAGAAGAAAACTTACAGCGCAATCCCTACGTGGTTGAAGAATGAAACATGATGGAATTGCTTTAATTATACATGAGGACTCCATCTTTAAATAGTATAATGATTGATGTAAGGATTAGCAAAATATTATCTTTATATGTCTATCGCGCCGCTCAAATGTCACAAACCGTATTAAACTTGTTACAAAATGCTTTCGAACTGTTACAGACTATGACAGACATGTTGACATCCGTCTTTGGATGTTTCGACTGCGGAATTTATATTATGAAATAGTTATTAAAATAAATAAATACGAAGATAATTAATTATTTAAATATTTATTTTAAAAGATAAATTCCGAGGTCCAAAACTCTATTTTGTCTGTTGGTTTCTCACATGTTTGTGTGGCAAGTCGTGATGTAGGAGAGGACTCATATTCCTTACTATATGATTTAACACTCATTTCCAATCGTGTATCACAAAGCCTTCTTGGCACAATCTCTGATGAAGCTTAAGTATAAAGCTGGCATAAGAATGCGATAGTTACGAAGATGTTTAGAAATCTTTTGCTTTCGATACGAAAAAAGTCCATCTTTGAGCAAATTACTTTCTAGGTAAAAAATGTCTGTATATTAAGATTGTTAGTGAGACGGAATGGATCAAGTTCTGAAATGCACATTTTCACTCAATATTTCATGATGATTGCTTCCATAGAATATAATCACGTATGATTTAACTGGTTAAGCACATGATTTCTCTCTTTTAATATTTAATTGTTTCCGTCATTTTTTTACGTTCGGTTCAATACAGATCGAGAGACACCCAATGCTCTGTATCATCTGTAAAAATTCTGTCTTCAAACATGCATTGTTGATTTTATTCTGTAAAAATTGTTTTTTTGTCAAAATAGTAAAAATGGAAGGAAAAAATGGGATTTGTGTGTGAACGTAGCTGGATGTAGTTAAGTCTGTGGGCGCAAGGATCTTCTGTTCACTTTCACTCACACAGCCACACCCATATCCACGCTCTGGATCACGAGGAAAACAACTGTGCGATGATTCGCCTCGTCACAAAAATAAAGTCATTGTAAATTTATTCCTTGTCAGAGTGCTTCTGCTTATTGTTTGTAGTCTTGAGAAAAGAAAATTAGAACAATCGTCATGTTTATTTGTGTTGATCTTGTCCAATGTTAACCGAACGATGTCTGATATAAGTAATTTGTTTATTCAATTCGTCAATTTGATTCCGAAAGATGTTAATACTGCTGAAACACTGCTCTATTTGATCAGTACTTGCATCAAACCGTTTGTTGAAGTATTCAAGTAAATGTTCAACATCCGAATGATTGGGCAAGAGAGTAGTTCCAACGGTTGATTCTATCGTCGACAGGAGAGGATATTGGGCTAGGAAAGAAATTCAATTAGATTTGTTCAGCTTAAAAACAAAGATATATCTGGTCTCTAGATGGTAGATCGAGAATTGTGAAAAATTGCTGTAAAAAAATCATCAGTGCTCTAACAACATATGACAAGTGATATATCAAAAGTTCCAATGAAACTTTGTAAAACTCCCAAATCCTAATAACTTTCGTATTTAGAAGATATAATCAAACGAGCCTCGGTGCATGAAATACAAGTTTTAACCTTTCTAATTATGGTACTACAAGAAAAAATGATCATTATAATACATAATCAGCTTTTTGTGTAATGGTCAGAACAAAGCTCTACTTGATCTCTTACATAGTTATTCTTTCTTGGTCTTCTTGTTTGTGTATGAATGTTTTGAATTTATTTTACTCTTCTTTATTTGTTCTTCTAGGTACTGTTCATTAACTCTCTGCTTTTTATTGCTCTTTCGTTCTGATCATGTGATGATGTATTACGTCAGTTATTTCGATTAAGTTTTCTGTCATCGAGCACTGCTGTGCATTAAAATATCTCTTACATGGACTTGAACTGGCCGTCTTGCAGAGTCGCACAGCTACTATAACATCATACTGTATGTTCTCGAATGTTAGTCGTCAGGCTTGCGACCTTTGATCTGACTATCAAACTAAGAGAAGCACAAACGTTGTGCTTACATTTCTTTTTTTTTATAGGTGAGTTCCATGTAAGTAAAGCATATACTCACTGATTGGTTGGGATGATGAAGGTCCTGATGATTCAATTGTTACAGACCCTGTTGATACTTTTTCAGCATTCGTTGTGTGATAGCATCGCTGAAGATTTCGATCTGTCTTAGTTGCCAGGTTCGATACCAAATTTTCACTTGATGGAATATTTTCATTCTCTGCCATGAGTCGCAATTCTAATTCAGGTGTTCGTGGCAGTTGTAAAATAGACTGACAACAAAAATTGAAAAGAAACGTTACTAAAAACTCATTCTTTTCGTATAATATCATTGGCTTTTTCGTATGATGTACATTTTACATTGACTCAAGATCCGTATTTCAGTTCGATTTTTCATAAATTAATACGCGTGAGGAATAAAACAACATTTGGATTTCCAAAAAACCTAAATCTGACTGTGACTGAAGTTTCACAACACAGTGGAACTATTTTGGTAGTGACGATCATGACTATACGTTATCTAAATGCTTGGAGGTGATTTTACGATGGAATATTTGTACCCCAGCTCTTTCAAAACACTAGAATCTTCGAGAAAACTTTAAGATTGTCTTCGATTTAACATTTTTTGAAAATATTATTTTAATGACATCATTGATGCTGTTGGGAAATAGTGCCAATATTTTCAGCATTTTGACAAACCTAATCTCTTCTATGTCATTCTTTTTTTTCTGAGAACCACTTTGATATTCTATAATGGCGCATCACTACTATCATCTTTTTGTGATATTTCCTCTTCCTTTTGGAAGTTCCTCTAATGCAGAAGAACCGATAGAAAAATTGGGTCAAAAGATGAAATAAAAACAAATATTTTACATTCCAAAATAGTGAGAATAAACTTTTTGCATAAGATTCCACCAAAAAGTCTCTCTAGTTTCGAACTCTCAAAAAATCTATGAGAGAACCGACGATTTAGAAATCAAAAGCTGAAATTCTGTTGCTTGTGATTAATTAATTAATTAATTAGGTTTTCCAATTTATGAGGAACCGTTTTACACAGTAATGTTGTATTATATCTGTTCTGAATTGCTCCACCAGTTCTATATAGTACGAACACTGTCATAAATGGTTCATTGATTTTTATAGCTACACTATTGGACTACGCTAAATCAACTTCATCCTCAAAAACTAAACAAATTTGGTTATTTGATAAAAGCTAACGACTGACGAAAGAATGCTTGTAAGAAAAAGTCTGATAAGGAAAAGGAAAGTGCTTTGTAGGACATGAAACAAAGTGAATATTGAAGAAAATGGCTTACGTCGATAGTTGCTGGTGTGAGATTCGTTTGTAAATCATTTTCGAGTGGATTATCGTGAAACGGTGGAAGTAATCGAAAAAT